AAAAAAAAAAAAAAAAAGAATGCCCCATTGCTGCCACCTGGGAGGCTCTTTCTTCCCTGCAGATGCAAGGGATCCAGGTTTCAATTACCCCTGAGGACACCTATATTACTTATTTTTAAGTTTTATTGACATATAATTTAAATACCATAAAAGTCACTGTTTTAAGTATACAATTCAAAGATTTTTAATAAATTTACACAGTTGTGCAATGATCACCACAATCCTGTTTTAGAAATGTTGCATCAGTCCAAAAAGTTCCCTCGAGCCCATTTGCAGTCACTTCCTGCTTCCTCCCACAGGCAATTGCTAATCTGCTTTCTGTCTCTACAGATGTGGCTATCTGGACATTTCAAATAGAATCGTACAATATGTGATCTTTTTTCTTTCTTTTACTTAGCATTTTTTTGAGATTCATCCATGTTGTAGCATGTATCAGTACTCCATTTCTTTCTATTGCTAAATAGTTTTTCATTATATGGATGCACACATTTTGTTTATCCATTCACCATTTGATGGATATTTTGTTTTTTTCTGGTCTTTGGCTATTATAAATAATGCTGCTATGAACATCTGCATACAAGTGTTTATGTGCACATACACTTTCATTTCTCTTGGGTAGATACATGGGGTAGAATTGCTAGGTCCTATGATAAAATTAATGTCTAACTTTTTAGGGAACTGCCAAAATGGCTGCATCATTTTACATTTCACCAGCAATGTATAAGAGTTCCAACCTATATGACTTTTAAAAGAATAACATACACTGAGAAATTTTTTATTGATTTGTAAGAGCTTTTCTATATTAAGGATGTTATAATTTTATTTATTTATTTTCCCCCAAAGCCCCAGTAGATAGTTGTACGTCACAGTTGCACATCCTTCCAGTTGCTGTATGTGGGACGCAGCCTCAGCGTGGCCGGAGAAGCGGTGCGTCGGTGCCTGCCCGGGATCCGAACCCGGGCCGTCAGCAGCGGAGCGCGCGCACCCAACCGCGAAGCCACGGGGCCGGCCCATATATTAAGGATGTTAATCCGTATTTTTTTCTATACCACAGATGCCCATGATGTAATGTTAACGGAAAAAAGGACAACTTCAATTGCATGGGAGAAAAGACCAGAAGGAAATAAGCCAAAAAATACATTATTGTTGCCATATATAGAAAACAGATGAGTAAATTCTTTTTTTGTTCTTATATTTTTTCATTACTATCCAAACTTGCCAAATGAGCATATATTAATTTTCATTCTGGTTATCAAAGTAAAAAACCAAGAAGGAGGGAGAGAGGAAAAGAAAAAAAGGGAGGGAGGAACCCTCAGACTTGATCATCTCACCTCAAAAAGAAGGCTGAATGCATCCTCCTCCTGACTTGTGAGGTGGACTGACAGGCCCTTAATGAAGACCCCTTGAGGGTTTTCCACGATGGTCATTGGTGTGACTGAGGGTCCAACATAGGGCAGAGTGGACAGAAGATCAAACAGCCTCTCATTATAGATTTCCAGGTAGGAAACACGCACAGTGATGGCATGTGTGGGGCGTTCTTCAATCATCCTAAAAACCTAGATGGGAGATTGACAGTAGTCACCAAGAGCAGAACGTCAATGACCAGCTGGTGTGAGGGGAGTTCTTACCTCAGAAGGGAACATCAAGAAATACAATAAGAAAATCTGTGCCCTAAAAAAATTGACCATCTAGTTGGTGTGATGGCCATCATCAACACCACAATTATTATTATTATTATTAGCCCATCTGGTGATATTTATTATCATCTTGTAGTTTTTTGAGGCCTGACTTATAGATTTGCTAATATTTATTATTTTTTTTTTTAAAGATTTTATTTATTTATTTTTTCCCCCCAAAGCCCCAGTAGATAGTTGTGTGTCATAGCTGCACATCCTTCTAGTTGCTGTA